TGGCAATACGCTTCTGGTAAAACACTGTTTTACATAACTTTGAGTAACAGCTGAACTAAACAGAATTTTTTGGTGAAACTAATTAACTGTTTTAATTAGCTTGCTTTTTAAATTTTGTTAAATTGATTTGGGAATATGTTTTAAACGTTAATTACGGAAATCAACAGCGCTGGTGATAGTCCTCGTTCATATAGTCACTCATACGAATGGACCACGTGGCAAGTTTAAAAATCTAATTTCGTAAATTAAGCAGTGGAGTCAGTCTTTACCAAGAGGAGACTTCTACAACACTAATGTTTTTATGAACAAGTAAGTCGCCCTGTAGTTATAATCAAATCGTTAGAGTTCTGTGAAACTGCTTCTAGTAAAAACGTACATATAAGATTGAAGGAATTCATGGTGATTGAGAAAATGAGAGACAAACACTTTCAGCCAGAGAAACTTCCTTTGCAGACTCAGAAGAAACCTGGCTAAACGTGGTCTAATAATACTAACTCAAATATATAGCCTGTCATAGTAGAAGTCTACCGCTTATTTCAGTCTGGAGTTTGTTAAAAGTATTAAACTAACAAAGTTTAACGATGAAGAGCCTATTAACATTTATCTTCGTACCTTTGAAGCAACTGAGAAAAATAAGTGTTGGATAAAACAAGAAAAGGCGATCACATTACCAAATAATATATTGAGCAAGGCTAGGGAAGCTTGCACCAGGCTGACCTAAATAAAGCACGTGACCATGAACTAGAGAAGACTGCGCTTTAACAAGGTGGCTTGACTTCTGAGTCACTTTTGTAACTCCAAAATACATTTACAAACAGTTGGTTATTAAGCAATTTTACTAACAGGAAAACATTTATACTAGATAGAAAACCAAATAGTTACTCTCGCACAAGGCTATATAGGCACATGGCACGAGATAAGCTCCAGATTTCAACAAGACTATATGAACAAATGCACAAGCGAGATAGGCTGAAGACTTCAACAAGAGTATATGAACAATTGTCCAAAAAATGCTGTAGATAAAAAGGTTTATCACAAGTTCTTCCAATCTAAAAGGATCTGTCGGCAAAAACGAAATAAACTTTCTTTTACAGCAGGAACAAGGGCATGAGACTGCCCGCTAATATGGTACGGGACATAAGCTGTGACCAGAGTCTTAAGATAGTTATTTGATGTGCGAAGATATCACCACTACTGCAGATGATCGACAAGTTAGGATGTGGTGAAACTGGAATACTTATACAAACGAAGAACAGATCATAGCGTGGTGCAAAACTTATCCTACGATCCTGTAATTAGGTGAATATGTGAACTTTGACTCATTATCAGATGAGACGACAAAAAGCCGTGGAACAAGCTGATACGTAAAGGGCACACATGAAAAGTTTACATTCCAGATGTTACAGCTCAAAAGAGGTAATTATCTCTATATATAAATCACCAGTTAGGCCTCACTTGGAATACTGTATGTAATTTTGTCTAAAAATATACTTATGTATTGGAAATGGTTCAGAAGTGGACTAATGGAATGATTTTTGGAAAGGAAGTGGTATCTTACGGAAGAAAAATAAAGATCTCTTACCTTATATTCTCTTGTGAAAAGAAGGGTGAGAGATGATCGTATTGAAGTTTATAAGATCATCCTGGGGATTGATATGATAAAGGTTTCTGACTTCTTTGTGCTATATTTTGAAGATAATAGGACAAAAACTATACAAGTTTAAGATTTGTAAAAGACAAGTTAGGCTCCAGTTAAGATAGTATTAAGTTTCTAACAGGGTGATCAACTTATGAAACATTTAGGGCGGGTTTAAATTTTTACTTTTCACAAAGGTGTGTATCTCAAGACAGCGTTGAAGGACCAAATGGTCTCTTGTTGTCCATATGTTATACTACTGGAAATACTTGCAGAAATATAGTAAACGTAAAAAATAGCGCAGTTAATGTAAAGTCATTTAGTTTAGATTATCATAAACTTAAGGGAGTTGAAATCAATTCTGAAAAATTAAATTCATAATATGAAGAAATGAAGCATCGGGGCCTTTAATAAGGTGTAGGGCTAAGGGGGGTAAGTCATCATCTTAGAAGGAGTAGATCATCGTCTTGGTAGAAATAAACCGTCTTTTGTGGGGAGTAGATCATCGTCTTGGTAGAGATAAACCGTCTTTTGTGGGGAGTAGATCATCGTCTTGGTAGAGATAAACCGTCTTTTGTGGGGAGTAGATCATCGTCTTGGTAGAGATAAATCGTCTTTTGTGGAGAGTAGATCATCGTCTTTAGTGAAAGGTAAATCACTGTCTCGTGTAAATTCGAATTATTCTACAATAATAGGTCCAACACAAAAAACTTCAGAAATCCTCCTTTTGTATCCGAAAACACCTGGTACAATAATTATTTATATTGGTAATTTAGCTATAGAAAACACAAGATGTTGAGAATATGAATTGCCATCTGTGTTAACGTGTCAGTCTTCTATATTTATAATAAAGATATTTATGTTGAAACTATAAAAATGGCAATATAAAATGGTGTGTTTGAGAAAGCACCTCGAAAATATCAGTTTCACGTACTTCATCAATGTTTCTAAAGACTTTTGTCATAACTTCTAGTTTACACGATCTTGAAAGACTGATCACCAACTAGTTATGATTTAATTTTTTTCCATAAGAGGCCGAAGTAATAGGTAGCACATCCGCTTTTTCTAAAATGACCTAAGATCGAATACCTGCTCATACCATAATACACATTCCTTCTCAGAACTTCCTTCAAGACGGTAGCACATGAATAGCAGAAACGTAGGATTTGAAGTGACTGGAAATCAGTAAATTAGTAATTAAATCTAGGTGAACGTAGAGGTTATATTAACCATGACAATAAGTGATACTGTATAAGGTAAATATAAGTAGGATAAAAAGAAAGTTAATAAATCACATAAGGCCCTATAACAGATAGTTGTACGTATATGTCGAAATATGACAATGTTGTAATCCTTTAACAATAAATCTAAAAGCACCATTGTTATCCATATACTAATACACTCATATTCGAGTATTGTGCATATATTTATATACAAGATACATCCATTTATAATGGAGAATGTCCAGCTAGTTTTGTAGTTTGTCAAATTCAGTTTTCTAATATGTTGTTGTAAGGATTTATATTATTGGGCTGTTTCTTTCGGATTAATCAGGAAAAAGAAAAATGCAAAGTCCAGTTCACTCAATGATAACGAAAACGTACGCCGGACATTTTCTACCATAACAGACTCAATAATTAGCCCTTATCTACTCAAGCGTATCTCGTGTTATATGTCGCTCATATCGTTTCCTAAACTTTCAAAAAATTCCAGAAGTTGAGACACGCACTTTATCACGTGACTTCAAAACTTCCTCCAGGCAAAATATAAGTAATGACATACAACAACACAGTTTGAAATGATACACCACATAATGACATACAACAATACAGTTTGAAATGATACACCACATAATGACATACAACAATACATTTTAAAATAATACACCACATAATGACATACATCAACCACAGTTTGAAATGATACACCACATAATGACATACAACAATACAGTTTGAAATGATACACCACATAATGACATACATCAACACAGTTTGAAATGATACACCACATAATGACATACAACTGTCATACATCAACACAGTTTGAAATGATACACCACATAATGACATAC